AACTCTTGAAGAACGATAAAAGTAAAGGACACTGTTATCAGATCTTGTTGCCTCTGCATGTACACATTAATATGCTGCATAGGTTTGATAACAGCACTGGGAGCAATTTATATGTGTCAGGAAGTACTTCGACGCTCAGAGTTTTAGTACTCGGGGTAGATAAGTATGGGGTTATAAGACATTAAAGCAGTCAGGTAACGCCTGAGTCGGAGACAGGGTTTATGTATACGTAGGTATCTGGAGAGAGATTACCAAGACAGGGGTTTGCATTAAACATTTTCTTTATTACTGCTTGTCTCTCAACTACGACAGAATGACTGAACGGATCTATTTTATGTTTATGTAAGCTTTAAAAGTATAAAAAAAGCGTTTTGGTAATATGTTCATAATTATGTAACTTTGTTAAGTCTTTGTTTGTGTAACCTTATCATGAACTATTAATGTATATTAAATCCAGCAGAGAAGTACTGAGAGAAAAGATAAAACGTTAAAGATTACGATTATGGTGTTATGGGGGAGGGGGCATGATTTATACTTCTTCTTCTTCTATAGCCTTAATCGACCAAATATTTGGTGTAGGCCTCCTTTAATCCTCTCCACTTTCCTTTGTCTTGGGCAATTAGGATCCAGTTGCTGCCCGCCACTTTTTTGATGTCATCCTTCCATCTCATCTGCGGTCGCCCTCGAGGTCTTTTCTGATCCACTAATGTACATGTATGATTTGTACATGATCTATACACTTATTGATAAATATAGAAAATGGTATCGGAGTGTAAGCTATACTCCTGAAACTCCTAGAACTTATGTAGCATGTTTGGCCTAAAAGGCCGGCAACGCGTTTGTCGCTCCTGAGTTACATCCTGAGTTACAGGCGTTCATGGGCGGCGGTAGTCACTTTCCATCAGGTGACCCGTCTGCTGGTTTGCCCCATCTTCCATTAAAAAACTTGTATTTATTGGTAACGCGAAGGTTTCGAGTAGTTAGAGGGTATGAAGAAATTTGGGCACATCGAACATAATTGCGTTAGTGGCGTGTTCTCGAACACAAAGGGTACCAAGCGCTCAAGTTAATTAAGTTACTACTTATCGTAAACGAGATAATAGGTTGGAGAGAAGATTGGGTAAGCGCAATCTTACAGCAATGAGAACAAAACTTCCTAATCTCTGCATTTCTGCAATCTAGGACAGATTAGGATACACACAATTTTATTAGTACTAGTCGATCCGACAAACTTTGTGCGCGATTTTCTTTTAGTTGTCATTGACTTTGGTAAGAAACTAAAATCATAAAAATAACATTAAGAATCTTCTCAAACTCATGTCATCATCATCGTCATCAGCCTATCGCAGTCTACTGCTGGACATAGGGCTCTCCCATTGCACACTACTTAGATCGATTTTGGGCTTCTCGCATCCGGCTCCTGCCAGCCATCTTGCGCAAAAAACTCATGTAAGAAACTTAAAAATCTGTCTCAAAATAAGCGGCTGCATCGCACCCTTAAGCTATTGGTACACATTCCATATTTTAATTGATTTTGTGCCTAAATACTATTAGGCTAATAGTCATTACGCCTAGTAAAATTATACGAATGCAATTAAGCTAAAACAAATGAGCCTAAAAGATAATTATGTCAACATAAACTGTAAGCCAAAAAAAAAATGGCAAAACATTATACGAAAGGAAGCAAAAATATTATGAAAAATAAAACACGTAAAACGTTTTGTGAAAACAAAACGTACGAGTAAGTTTTACTTCTATATCTCCACGGACTCCAGAAACATCCACTAAATAGAATTTGTTACACACAATATACGTATAAATGTTGGAACCCGCGCGACACAGGATATATTCGGGCGTTGTAAAAAAGAAGCTATGGTGTTTGCTCGTGGCTCTGCTACTCGTACAACCATCCTGTATTGGCGAGGCCACTAGGCAAATTAAGTGGCCATACCTCTTAATGTATTTTATTCTTCTGTTATTGTAAACTTGTGTTGTAACTTCATAACTGTAGTTTAACAGTTTTAACGCAATTTATTGCTTTAGCACAAATGCTTACAAAAACGTACGACAATGCATACACAGACATAAATAGTCTCCCAAAGACTATTTTGATAATTCCATAACACCCAATTTGTGTTAAAAATACCCCACTGAAAAAAGTAAACAATATGTATACTGTCAAACAATTGCTGTGTTTAGTCTTTAAGGTGTAATGTTACTTTAATCGGAGGTTGTGCGATCCATAGCCCTTTAAGCCAGCAATGTCGCATACCGCAATGACCACAGCGAGTGCTGGCCATCAGGGTCATAAGGGGGAAGGATTTGCTGCGACGAGGCGCGGGACTTGAGTCGGAGTCCTGAGTCTCGAGAAATCGAGGACCACAAATCCAAACTCTATCGGGTCCTTGTGGAGGAGTGGAAGGAGCGACTTGGGCAACCGAGCGTCTTATCCACCGTTATCGCGGCGAACTCTCCCGGCCCGCCAGGCCAGGTACCGCAGGCGACTCAGGCGCCGGAGGTCGCAGAACGACTTCCGTTCTCCATAAGCGCAGGCCTGGGGTTGACAGGTGAGGCTATCTGTCACCATAACAAAAGCAGGCCGAGGTGAGTGGGCTCTTCGGGGGCAGGAAGGAAAAATTGGAGTTCCTACACAGGAAAGGGTCATCTATAAACCGTAGATGGCCCGAGGTACGTCGTGGTACCTGGGCTTACCTTTCTAGGTTATACCTGGTTCCCCGGCTACTGGTACCTGGAGACGGCGTGCGGTTTTTGGTTGGTATGAGTCCGACGTAACCACTCCACTAGTGGGTGGTATCCGAGGGGAGTTCGACACAGGAAAAAGAAAAAGGGTGTAATGTTACTTACGGTTATGAACAATAGCAAACAATCTTGTGAAAGGATTGTTTTCTATTGTTTTTATACACTAAAGGTAGAAACACTTGACTTGTCTACTTGCATGTAATAATATTATAATTAATAACTATGCAATATATATAGTAACTAGTAAACTAATTTTGTGATAACATTGTGTAAAATGTTTATTAAATTTTCAACAACAACATACTATTACAGATATGCAATTTTAATATAATATTTAGTTGAATTAATTTATCTCGATTAAAGCAGATACTATTATATTAAGATAAAACTTTTAACAGTAGCGTAGTTAAGCAATAACTGTTACTTAGTGTTAAGCCCACCATCTGAATGTACATTTTGGAATGCAAAAAATTAAATTGAGATTAACTAACTAAGTTATGTAGTTAAATATGTGATAAACTGAAACTGTTAAATGATTCCCAATGAATTTACATTTCATTCGCCAGAATTTTTCACATTTGACTCTCGCTGCCATTCTTCTCATTGCGTCGTATCGCATCCCCGGGGGGCGCTTACTAAACACTGAACCTTATCACCTCTACATAAGAAATGCTTTGTGTTGATAAGATATCGTACACATACAAATTCCACGATATATATCAATAACGCATTGATAAGCAAACGACGAAAGTCATTTACATTTCTTGGTATCTTTGGAAACTTCATACGTGGATTTTTGATCGAGAGATCAGTTACCGAAATATTAAAATGTAAACTTTTGTAGAAACCACTGCCGGGTTTCTATGCCCTTCTCAATATTGAAAATTACTTGATAGAGTACTGAATTACTAAAGACTAAATTAGGCGTGGCCTTAAAACATACTTGGGCGGTATTAAAATATATGTTATTTGTGGCAATGGTGGCGATAAACAAATAAACTAGGGTATTAAAGGATAACAGCTCGTCATACTATTGTTATATATGAAGTAATCGAAAATGTTACACTTTATATTACTGTAGGTCTAGTAGTTAGCGATCCTGAGTGCTAAACACAGAGGTTGTGCGTTTAATCCCCAAATTTCGAGATGAGCACGATCATTTGTTCTGTGTCTGGATGTCGTTTATAAAAATGTCTAAAATATTTACTTAGACATATATGTGATGGAATGCATCCGTGCTATTCAAGTGCTGACGGATTAAGGGTACGAAGTGTCACCACCAGGTTCATTATTCATCCACGTCACCGCACACTACACAGGTCTTTCCTAATGAGAGGCCTATGTCCAGCAGTTAACTATTAAAGGCTGTTGCTGTATGATGTAAATATTTTTGAAGGTAATATGCTTCAACCCAATTACATATAATCATTATTTTTATTTTTCATTTACTAACATAGTTATAAGTCAAATTGTTACTAACACTATGAGTTTTGTTACTCGATACGATATGAATAAATAAAATAAAAAAATAAAAAAAAATTATCATCATCAGCCTATCGCAGTCCACTGCTGGACAAAGGCCTCTCCAAATGCACGACACTTAGATCGATTTTGGGCTTCTCGCATCCAGCTCCTGCCAGCCATCTTGCGCAAATCATATAGATATATATATGAGGCATATAGATGCAAATGCGCCTCTATCCACTTTTTCTATTTTTTAACAATTTCACAAAAACGGATATCTTGAACTAAATTGACGCTGTATCCGATAATACAATCCTATATCATGGCAAATTAACAACATTTTTGTTTTAATGCATTCGTTTATCCTCAAATAGTCAGTCAAAATTGCAAAAAAATATTGAAATCTGGATAGAGGCTGTTTTGCATCTTATCAGTTGACAGAGGCCGTTTTGCATCTGACACTATAGGATAGAAGCGGTTTTGTTTCTGTAATCGATGCATGGATGGTTTTATACGATGGAGGCCCAGATTTGTAATTCATAATAAGCTATTTCCACACACATGCATACAAGAAATTAAAAGGAGAGTAAATTAGGTATTGAAAGTAAATTATAAGCAAATATGTATGAACTTATATTTATTGATAAATTTAACTATATTAAAACACAAGATTGTGGAAATATTATGAGTAACTTAAAATAACTATTACAAGTAAGTTACTTGTAATATTAACTTTTTTTTGAACTTGAATAAAAATAAAGTTTATCTAAACAATATTAAATGCTCAATCCAACTTCTTCCAGGTATTCACAATGCTCTTCATTTTCTGGTTCACCAAAATTTGTGGTTTCCAGAATATTTTTATAAAATAAGAGCTTATCAGATCCAAGCTCCGATTTCCAATTATCACCAAAATGCTTTAACAACAGGTTGTTAACGTCTTCAAGTTTCAAAGCAGATATGCGTGCTTGGAATGGTGGGATGTCTCTGATGCCAAACTCTGACGTTGACGATACACCTCTTTTCATTACGCTTTTGGCTGCGCCAAGGTCACTTTTATAATTGACTTCTCCTCTGAGAAGGAACCGTCTAGGATTATTCTTCACTCTGCTTACATAATACCTCTTGCACTCTGCAAATTTGAAGTGGTATTTGGCTGGCGGTTTCATTGTTTCACTCGCATAGGTCTTCCAATCCTTCACTACACAGTTCTCACCCAATTTGCGAACAACGCCATAATGATTATATATGTCTCTATATTCGGATGGATCTATAATCACTTCTTTGTTTTTGACTTCTTTTTCAATATGTCCAAAAACACGATCGGCCGGCATAAATGAATGTCCGGGGACAGGAAATATAAGCTCGACCGTCTTGACACTCGTTGGGGCGCAATTCGTTAACCAGTAAGCAACCATAGCGATAATTGTACTGTTTTTATTTTGTGAGCCGCACCCATCCGCACACATTCGCACCTTTTTTTTGCCAGTAAAATCAGTGTGTGAAAGTAAATCGAAAACGGCTGATGCAATCTCATTCGACGATTTAGCATAGATGTTTTCGGTCCACGTATATATTCTGACATTTTCCTTCGGAAACTTGTTTGTGCTTGTGCCAATTACAATGGTAAAATTGTAAATGTATAGTTGTCTCGAATAATATGCCACTTGGTCAGGGATTTTTGGTAAGACCTGGTTTTTTTGACAGTCAAATGATATGGAAAACGTTTGTTCATCGTATTCTCGCAAAAAAGTGTAAAAACATTTTGCTTTTAATTTGTGAACCCGCAATGCAGTCATCAATTGAACTTTTGCGCTATCATGCGATCTTTTGATTTTTTCTGATAGCTCCGTGCATTTTGAGCAAACATCGACCCTCGGTGATCCGAATCCAATATTATATTTTGTGTTGAAAATCTGTCTAAAGAAAGAATGGCGCACTCTGAGACTTTCGTCCTCCTGTTTATCTTCATACATTCTCCACATTTTACTGATGCTCAAATCAGACGATACGTATTTTCTTTCTGAAGTACTTGATCTGCAATAGTGTGCCTCAATACACTTAAATGACTCGATGAATCGCTTCACATTTTCCCTCTTCGCGGCATTCTTCCTGGACACTCTATCACCGCCTCGATTTTCTTGTGGTATTTTGCCCTCTAATAAGAATTTTTTGGATATATTTCGCAGTCTATGAATACCAACGCCAAGTATTTTTGAAAAGGCACGTTGACAAACTCTTACTAGCTTAAACGGTTTTGTGTATGTTCGGACATAAAATTTTGTAAAAGTAACCGATTCTGCGCGGTTTCCCACTTTACGCCTTCGACGCTTCGGTACATGAACTTTCATAAATTTCAGCATAAAATTGTCTTGGACGATTTTATTCAGCTTGACATAAAATGCTTGATGAAATTGTCTAATATCTTGAGAATTTAGGGTACTGCACTTCAATTTCTCATTTTTCGTATGCCTACAGCTTGTAATATCCGCCAGATTTGGTGGTCTTTTGGATGAGTACCTGAAATAATATTTTTTTTTTGCTTAAAACGCTATTATCTTATTATGACCTACGATTTCATAGTTAAGTTGCTAGTATAGTATACAGTAGTTTAAAAATCGGTATTCAATACTACAACAAAATACAAACATGCGAGCGGGCGCCCGAGCCGCGTTTTTCGCGTCGCATTATTGCATAAACACAGCCAAGGTTGTAAGGTAAACGAAACTTACCTCTCACGCTTTTTTATGTTGCGCTTCCACTTATTTTCATCTCGAATCCTTTTTCTTCCCTTATTACCTTCCACTGGGGCAATATTTACTTCCATTTTTCGTCGTTTTTATATTTAATAACAGAAAAATAAAACTACGCGGTGCACGAAAACAACACACGGACGCCATTAAAGTCCATACGAAATACTGTTCTGTGATTGGTCGAGTCGCGATAGTGGCGCTTTTGTTACTCAAGATTTAACAGAGGCGGTTTTGTTTCTTACTACAAATATCTCATCAAGTTTTGAATAGGATAGAGGCGATTTTGAACTTACATGAATAAATGAAAATAAAGAGAATTAGTAGAAGGTTGCCAGTAAAAAAAAATACATGTTTTTCAAAAAAGTGGATAGAGGCGCTTTTGCATCTATACACCTCATATATATATATATATATATATATATCCGATCTTAAATTGTTATTCAAATATTTGGGAGTTTAATACTCTCTGTCTCCCAGGATGTGAAGATGTGATTGTATGTTAAAAAAGACGGGGAACGATTCCGAACAATCGGTAGCCATTTTTGTGAAATAATGAAATTAAATGTTTATTACGTGATCCAAATTGGCGTGAGGACTGTTCACCATTGTTGACAATAAAAGGAGAGTGCTTTACTTAAATATTTATGACAAACACACTTTGTGGTGTACGACACACTAAGTTCCTCTTTATGAAAATAGTTAGGACAACTTTGCTTAATTAAACATACGTTTGAACATTGGAGATCTGTGCAAGTTCATAATTCAGTGAGGTAATTAGATGCGGTAGTTGAGTAGAAGTAAAGTTAGATGTACCAAGCTTGTGACTCTTATTGAATAGTGTTCACAAACTCACTGTATTTTAGTTTCAAATATCATGCACTCAGACTCCATTCTCCAGCCCGCCTAGCGTCACGCGTTTCAACCACCTGTTACGATTGGCAATTTTTGTAGGCGCAACAAGCTATACTAGGCTTAAGTGACTTTTTATGCGTATTTAGCCGTATTGTAGTTACCACATATACCTGTGAGGTGACTTTCTAATACAACGAATAAACATACTTTAATAATGTCTAACGAAAACACATCAAACTACGGAGTTACTACTAAGCCTGCATCGCGACATAAAAGTCTCGCGCCGATTAGAATGTTTACCTACAACTGCCCAAAGTGAACAGTTGGGCCCGCCAGGCATGATCACCTCGTCTTGATATAGTATCCCCTCGTTTTGGAGAAAGTTAATACTCATTACTCAATGGAAATATACTAGTTTACAGAGGGAAACATATCTTCAGAAGTAATGTATATTTAAGAAGAGAGAACCATGATGTTATGTCACTTAAATCTGCTTAGGTGGTTTTTGACACTCCGTTTATCACAACAGATCGCTAGATACCATGATTAAATGTTACAGTTAGTGCCAAAATGAATAGTGTTGTGCCCAAAAACAATGATTAGAACTTAGTATCTGTAATGTTTGCAAAAATATTGACAGCACAAAATTGTAAAACATGTATAAAGGTTAGTGATACTGTTATTGAACATAGCTGGTAGCAAAAGCATCGTTTAATTGTGAAGAGCGCGGAAGCGACGACTCGACGTTGTGGCAAATCTGCTACCTCCGTTGGGAAATTACAGGCTGTTGATTTGCGCCTCACCGCACACGGCTCCGCGCCGCTCCACTCGCACAGTGGTACCGTGGCGTTGGTAACAATCAGAGTTTTTTCCACTTTCCATAAAACATAAAACCAAGCTGTACAACTTATTTATTGATAATGAACTTTAAAAAAATATCACCGACTTCAATGCGACTACAACGTGATGAATTATAATCAACCGTCTTCTTCATTCTTTAATTTACCACCCTTAGAACTTTTTCTTCAATTTCAAATGAAACCAAACTCAGGAATTAATCAGTCAAGTCAGAAAATCTTATGTCGTATTTCTAAAAACAGTTCCTATATTCCAGGCCTGTTTAATATCGTTAATTTCTTATAATTGTGTTATTTTTAATTGTAAGTATAATATGAGCCCCGGGACCAAGCAATAAACATGACACGTGACATCACACAATATTGTCATGTTTTAGTATTTAACCTTTATTACGGTCAGAGCCGGTAACTACGCCATCTGTATGGTGGGCAGGGAATTCTCATAAATTAAAAAATAGAACTCAAATAAAAGTTTCCACGTGAGACAAATACTGACATTATCTGTTTACTCCCTTGTTTTGTTTAATCATTTCTACTATTTTTCTGCAGCTGCTTTTGACGACATCAAATATCTCTATTGGTCTCAATCACAGGACATACCAACTCTTGGAGCTTCTACAGTATCCCATCCAAAACATGCTCCCAAATGTCTTTTTCCGTCCTTTGCCGTACCCATTTTTCTAATCCCTAATTTACATTTTCCTTTGTCTCCTCTGAAAAAGGGCCCATTCTCAGCGAGGGTTGGCCTCAGACAGACTGCTGGTAGTAAACTAAACTAGCCAAAACTCAGCGCCGAGAATAAATAAAATTGGGAAAAAAATAAAAATTATAAATGTTTACAATACTAGTATATAAATTTAAAACAGCATTTGCCTAACCTTCGACGGAGCTTAACTGTGATCACTCATTTTATTAAGTAGAACGTACAACTACTTAACAAAACAAATTTCGGTCTCTGGGCCTCCACAACTTTTTAACCGACTTCACAAAAGGATGAGGTTCACAATTATTTTTTTAGGTATGTTCACCGATTACTCGAAGATGCCTGAACCGATTTGGATAGTTATTTTTTTGTTTCAAAGGGTATACTTCCCAAGTGGTTAAATTGCATTTTATAGAAATCGGTCTAGCTGTAAATCTAAAAATTGTGTACATTGATGATATTTTCGTTTACTCCGAAACCTCTGTCTCATTGGCAGTGCATTTAGTTGTTAGTGCTCTTTGTCAGTACTGTTTGAAGTCGATTCAACTTTTTTCTAAAAAGATTTTTACAGTTTTATATAGATTTAAAAAAAATGATTTGTGTCACTCCAAGCACGTCTCCAGCGGTCGTCTGACCACATTCCGACGCGCGTCCCATTGTTCAAGCCACAATACCACCGTCAGGTATTTTAATAAACCCTCAATACATAATACATATAATATGATACATCACATATAAAAAATTAAATGAAACTGAATTACTGAACTTCCTCACGTTTTTATTAGTTGTACTTGAAACTATGTAAAGAGAATAATAAACGAAAGTCAATTGCAATCTACTCCTAATTGCGGTATAGTAATGAGTAATGACACTACGTTTGTATAAGTTTTTTTATTTGTTTTGAGAATATCTTGGAACTGAACCATCAGGCTAATATTCTCAACCTCAAGTATTCAGTATGGGTACACCTCTCGAAATCGTTCTCTTAGATTGGGCTTGATGACGATGATCTGATGATGAAGCTTGGAAGTAGATGGTAGAACTAATGTTTCACGTTTAGATCCACTTTCGTCTTCGAAAATTCTTTTCTTTTTTTAGATTTTTAGTATTACTGTATTCGTTAAATAAAGTTCATTGATTTAACATTTTGGAATAGAACCGTACAAATTATAACGATGTAAAATGACACACGCGGCATAATTACTAAGCAACAAAGTGTTCATAAATATAAACCCATTTGTTCCATTAAATTATTGAGTTGGACGATCGGGAATTAATTATTTTTTAAATTAACTTTCGGCCCGAGCGGAGCCGTCATAGATATTTGTTACGCTATATATATAGATTTTCTCTCTCTTTCTTTCTCTCTATAACTCTAATATGTAATTATAATAGTTGACGGATATAACACAGTAGAAAACGTCGAAATAAAAGATTGATGGAGTGCTCGAAAGAGGATTTGGCTATAAAGGGAGTAAGCAGTGAACTGACGAGGGGTGGAAGAGAATGGAAGAAGGCAACTCATTGCGCAAACCTTAAATTAATATGAGAAAAGGATAAGTAGACGAAGATGTAATAACAATAGTTTCAAATACCTTACACACGGTCCTCTGATCCCAAACCAGGCAGTGTACTATAGTAAGTAGGCTACTGATAAACATACTTTTTTTTTAACCAAAGGTATGTATCGACGATAGGTACTAAGTACATACCTTTGGTTAAAAAAAAGCTATAGTGAACGTGTGAATGCCCATAAATAGAAATGTAGATACTACAAACACGGGAATAGGTGTTGGCGTGACACAATTAGCAGCCTGTGACCACGACCAATGCAAATTCCTCGAAACGTCACACAATATAAGGGCGTCACGTGATCACGTTATGTCTCATTTTTGAACATAATTATATTTGATGGCATCATCATCATCATCAACAGCCTTTAATAGTCCACTGCTAAATACAGACCCCTCCTTAGAAAGGTTTTGGCCTACTATGCCACGCTCCCCAGCCGGATTGCTATAGGTTTTGTTTCAAGTTTTCCTTCTCTTTGCAGTGCTGTTATCCTGCGTAGTGCTCCCTTAGTCGTCTCCTACGATAACCACGATCTGAAGAGAGTGACAACTCCGTATTCTTTATCCGGAAAGTAAGTATTATAAATGATTCTGCTAATCCCACAATTATTTATTTATTGATTGAGTCTTCCTGCAAACATATTGCATAAGGCGGACTTAATGCCTCAGGCATTTTCTTCCAGTCAAACCTTTGGGTGTTGCAAAGCTGTGTGTGGCAGGTGTATATTTGGGACAGGTAAAGATGAGACTGAATGAAGCCATGTAACACTGGCAGAAAAGAACAAATCCTACAGATATATAAGTACTAGATATACATACATATAGTTTAAAATTATGTGACCTCGGTGCAAATCAAATCCAACTCATTATCATTAATTATTTGCCGTATAGGCTCATCAATTTCTAATAATAGTGTACTATACTATAATAATAGTGTAACATATTACTAATACTAAACCCTCAACCTTCAATAGTCCGCTTTTAATTAAGTTTATAATTATCTTGAAGGGTTGTTTATTAGTGAGTAATAATTAAAAGGGATTAAAAGATCAAAAGACAAACTTACCCGAACAGACCCGAAGTAACTGCGA